AGATAAAATCAAGGTAAATTTGAAAAAATAGTTTAAAAAGATGACGTCAATATTATTTGTACGTTTTATACTTTATATTGGTTTAGGTATATCGTTACATAAAATGAGACTTTTAACAGTTTTTTTTTACCTTTGCTTTTTTTGCGCTCAACGATACATTAAGAAGAATTTAAAATGTATTTAAGAAATGAATCACAATAAATTAATTTGTGCAGTTCCACTAAGCTTTTTCGAGTAGAGAAAGTACTTGCAAATGAATTTCACAATTTTTCATGTACATCTAAACTTTTGTAGTTTATTTGTCATACATTTCTTCAAAAATCCTGTCATTTTGGCCTGACAAAGAAGAGGAAATTTCGGAAAAATTCTAAACTGTGATGAGTTTTCTTGGAATTTTTTTTTTTATTGATTTAATTGCAATGTGTAGTTCATTTTCTTGCTTTATAGTCAACCTATTTAGACTCTAAAATTTCAAACGATATTATTCTAAGGAATTTAAACATCGTATTTTAATGTAAGCTCCGCAAACAAGAATTTTTGTGCCGTATTTGTTTCACTTTTCTTTCTTTCTCTCTCTTTTAATGCTATTTTTAGGTAACACAAAACACACATTTAATAAATGTATATCGAAATTTAGAGGGAGGATTTGAGTTAAAGAGAAAGTTAAGGGTTAGTGCTTTCAGTAAAGACATGCCGTAGCAGCGGAATATGTCAAAATTAAAATAATTAAATATAAAAAACTTCTTTCCAAACTATGTAAGACGCAAGAAACGCCGTAACAATAATTTCCATTTTAGCAAAATAGATAAACTAAATCCATCAAACAAAATTATGGTGGGAAGGTTCGTTCAGGAGATGATTTGTGGCTATAATTTGAAACAATGTGGTTGAATACAGGGGGAAAACTGTTTTTCTGGGAAAAAAATAAATTATCTAGCTATGTAAAATAAAATATCTCGGCTGATTTGATGTGAACAAGGATAAAAAAGTATCTTTTTTCCTTCATTCTTTACTATTCCTCTAGCAAAAAATTAGCCGGACCGAAAAGCTACTAGTTTATTGCTTTGGAAATTCCGAATAACCGTGAACGTATAGCAATATCACGGTTGAAAATGTGATTCAGGTCTGAAGAGATTCTATATTTTTTTCGGATGTCTTTGATAAAACAGAAACAAAAAGCAGAAGGAGAAATGTCTCAATTTTATTTTTTTCTTTCTTTGATTTTTCCACTTGAGCCTCCCATGAGTATTGTTTTCTTCTTAAACCTGTAATTGTCTCTCAGTAATATGACAAAAGTTTTCAAAATGACGGATGAATTTAAGGAAAGCCCCCATCCCAAGAGCCCAAGTGTGAATGCGTAGCGTTAATCAAAAGTATCTTCCAATATCAATGAGCTAGAAAAGCAATTCGGAACGAAAAAAGAATTTTGTTAAAATGAAACACCTAGTTTAACGTGTTAGTCACTCATTAAATTTCAAGTAATATTTGTACACAGCATACAACCTCCTTATACTAGTAAAATGTCTTCCGTAATAATCTGCGGTGCTAAAGAAAAATGTTAACTGATGCGGGAAATGTCATAACAATCAAGTCATCGGAACTAATCGTAAGCGGTTGCGAAAACGCTGCGTTTATGATATTTTGATTATAAATTTAATATTTTATCAATTAAAAATGGATTAATAGTAAAAGACAGCATTGAGTTGAAATATTATGGAAGAAATATTATGACCGATGATGTTCTTAATAGTGTAATTCGTAAAGTGTCTTTAGTGTATAATCATGTATTTGTTCTGTAACTTTTTTTGCCGACATTTAATTTTGTTTATGGACTTGAAAGGGTCCATTATTTGACTGTCTTGGCTTTAAGCGTTGAACTATGAGTTTGACTTTAATACGATTGTGGTGCGAGAAAATTGCACATTGAAAATCATCAAGAGTAGTCTCAACCTCAGATACAAGGAAAACAATTTTGAGGTTATCCTAAATAAAGTGGGAATGTATTAAAAGCTTTAAAAAATAGTTTTCAGATCGCAAAATCCTTACTTTAAACAAAAAAATAGTTACCTACTGAAAATTATTCGTTATCTTGCACACGTAAATTTTGCTTGAAAAAAATTAGACGAATTTAATTTTGAAATTGTAAGGACTTACTTATTCTCCTTGGGATGGTTCATAAAATTTGCTACAGATTTTCTACGTTCTTTGCATTCATAGAAATATGTTGCTAGAGAAATTCGCAAAGCAATATATTTTTCTAAATAATATTTTCTCTTGAGATTTTTTATTGATGGAGAGAATGTATTTTAATACAAAAATTCATAGTGAGAGATGTGATATTTTTTCATTCGTTTTTGAATCATCGTGGGTGCGGTAAAATTTGGGCATTTTTTATTGTTTCATAATGAGTCGCATCATTAATAACTAATTTTGCTTCACAAAAACACACAAAATTGAGATTAAAAGTATTATGGATTAATTTACAGTAATAAAAAACAAAACAAATGTATTCAAACACTGCAATTTTAGATAAATCAAGATTGATCAAATTTATCGTATTCTTTAGGAACTCTCATGAAATATTTAAGACATGCGGGGTATTTTCCTCCAGCAATCCTACACGCGCATCGTCAAAAAGCATGAAAACCTAAAAGATCAAGCTATAAGTTCGGCTCCCGAGACTGCGGGTTTCAAACCGAAATTTTAAAAAAAAATCCGAAGAATAAAGAAAATTCTAATTTTCTGTTACAAAGAGCTGTGAACAATTTTTAATACAGATGTTATTTTTCTTTCTTCCTCAGTTACTCATAATATTCATTTTATTCACATCACATGTTTTGAATCAATTTACACTGAAATCATTAAACCATGTTAAGATACTTAAATAATTAAAAGTTTCAGTAGGATAGAGCGTTTTTAATTTTACTTCCTAATAAATATATTTTTGTAGTATTCTTTACACGTTGAAAGTAATGGTTTTCTTCTTACATTTGAAGAAAAGTCTCTAAGATAAGCGCCACGTTATCTTGGACCACGAATAATTTTGGTAAATAAATAAAAAAAAAAAAATTGATAGTTACACTAATGCACTGAATAAACGCGTATGCCTTCGTAATCATAACTATGCACTCGAGCATATTTTTGTTGTCATTGATATAATAGTTTATACGACCAACATAAAAAAATCCCATGTTAACATTGATTGTAATACTCGTATATATCAAAATTTTTTGGTGACTTGGGTTGGCTACGAACATGAATTTCATACTTTTTTATCTCGATTGCTTTAAAATTGAAGAATGGCGTTGGATTTCTCCTCGGTAAATTGCGAGGGGATAACCTAAATTTCATTTTTTCGCGCAAAATTAAAGTAAATAAGAAATGAAAATACGCTGGGAGGATTCCAACTATAAAACATTTCCTAACGTCAGTTACCCAACACAGGTGGAAATGTTTAAAAAGTAATTTCTGTGTATTCTGGACAAATAGACAAAATATGCCGTTTATTTGAGTATTCATTTATACCAGGCATTTGTATTTTATTTTTGTTCTTTAGGAGTAAGACGTAGATGATTGGTACATCCATAACATTAGGGGCAATTTTGTGTTATACAAATTATTAACTTTTTCGGACTATGATCCAGCATTGACAGCTGTATCAGCTAAATGCGTAGTGCTGGGTATACATATTTACTATGCAAAAAAAAAATCATAGGTACATTTCTGTGCAGATTAGGAAATTTTATATCACAATCGAAGCATATTTTTCTATCCAATGTCGGGTGGAAATAATTCGCGAATTTCAGGAAAAGTGAATGACACGTGGGAAAGGAAAATTTCAGATCTAACTCAGAAATCAGGAAGTATTTTGTTTGCAATTGTAACTCTAATTTTTACCTCTCACCGAATAAATAGAAACCGAAATTTACTTGTATCAACCTGACAACTAAAATAATTAAAAAGTTATCGTCATAAAATAATTTCTTAGAGTTCTCGAATTTTCTTGAGTAGCTTCCAAGCACTGTCAAGTAGAGCTGGGTAAATTTTTTGTAGAACTTAATTTTACGCTCACTTGCCGAACGATACATTTGGTTCAAATGGCCGATTAGACCAATGCCTTTACTTTATTTTCGCAAATGGAAAGTTTAAATTGATTGCTGCAATAGAAACAGTAAAAAATAATCTCTATTTAATGACAGTAATTTATAACTTATCAATACGTTTAACTGGATCCTCATGACGTTTTAAAATGACACGGAGGTAAAATCTCCAGTGGATACAACAAGTTAGACGGGATTTAAACACTAATTACCTACATGGAGTCTCATGATTTAGCAAAAGTATAAACTGTCGTTGTGTAACTACAAATTGAGTCAATATTTTCTGATTTTGAGAAGAGATTCATTCCGTATCATAGTTTTTTCCTAAAAAAAACCACGTGCCCTCTTTCCTTTTCAGAAGCCACCGAAAAAAAAAATAAATAAATCGATTTTGCTTGTCGCATCATTGAAATATCGGGTACAGCAACACTGTCACCACGTAACAGTGAGAATGTGCCGGCTGTACCCTCAGCACAGGACGGAACATTGGAAAAAAGACGCTTGGATCTAGAGTCCAGACTCTCGTCAAAAACATCGACAAAAAAAATACTCTTAATTCAATCGGATTTTTGCTTGGATCGAGAATCAAGTCCCTTAGTTTAAGCGGATTTTCGCTTGATTCAAACAAAAAGCAGATTGAATCAAGAGTATTTTGTCTCGTCATTGTTTTCAAGAGTCTGAACTCTGGATCCAAGCGACCTTTTTTTCCAGTGAATGGTAAATGCAAAATCACCATCCACCGAATTTTCTCATGATGTCTTATTTTTATTCGTTTAAGTATATCATGGCTGTGTTCCAGCACTTCTTGCAGCGTCCAGCTGTGTCTTCCCGGACCCACCGGCATCTCTTAGTGAGCCCCTAATGGAAAGAACATTGGCGTGGTATAAGGTGGCGTCTTACCTGCCAGATTTGGTGATGACCATCTCGGTTCCTAGCTTGTGGAACTTCTCCCACAAGTCTTTGCCCTCGAGGGTGACCTTGGGGTCGTCGACGATGCCGTCGTCCTCCGGCTGGATGGCCCGGAGCGGGCGGACCATGGGGTGCGCGTGGTGGGCCACGGCGGCGGCGAGCACCACATCTTCGGCCGTCGTGTAGGCACTCACAGGGGGGTGCGGGGGCAGTTTGGGGAAGCAGCCGAGCGGCGGGAAGGGGTACGGGCTGTGGGGGAGGCCCGGGTTGCTGTGCGCCGACCCCGGGCTCCCGGTCAGGAGGCTGCTCACGCTGAAGTCGGTCGACGGCCGGAACAGATTCGAAGTCGTCGTGGCCGTAGCGGGGTGGAAAGAGGACATGCTTTTGTCGGGGATGGAACCCGGTTCGATGGTCTTGGGCGCTCCCACGGGGGACGGAGGCCCGTTACATGATATCACTTCGCCCTGTTCGAACCTCATCGAGTTGGGATTACTGAAATTCAAATTGAATGAGGGGGATGCTGATGATGACGTCAGCTTGGATCCGTTTCCTCATCGACCATTCAACACGAAATTCCTGCCCCGCGCCAACTCAAAGTTTCATGCTTTCGCATCCACAACACACACCAGATAATGTTTCCGCTCCGAATCAGCACATTGATCGATATTTTTCCGCAACACAATTCAAATCACGAGCAGGTGAATTTTTCCGATCACAGATATAATCGACCGAAAATCCAAAATCACTACGCGGCTAACCGGTTAGAAAAAGAAAATAATAACATGGATTTTACAAAAACTAACAAAACATTTAAAAAACTCTATTTATTGCACTTGAATTTTTTTTTCGCGGTGAATATTCGACTGAGGCGTCATAAAAGCTGCCGGGCACAATTTTTGGCTGGATTTCCGCTGAGGCGTCTGGTGCTCGTGTTCATTTCCTTCCCTTCAAGCGATGCAAAGCACTGTTTTTCCGGAAATTCGAGGAGACGACGTTGAGCCTTATCCGACGCATGGTCACAACACCGGACATTCGGCAAGTTCGAAGGCGACACGGAAGCTCGACACGGTTGTTATCACTGGGAAGAAAAGTCCGAGTTTCGGGGGGCACGCACAGAGGACGGCACGGGTGGGAATCGAGAGCGAAACAATGGAGAGAAGCGGATAATCCGAGCGAGCGAGCGAGCGACAGTTTGTTTTGAGGAGGAAAAAAGGGGAAACGCTGGAGCCGGGACGGAGAGCACTGCGGCGGGTCCGCGGGTGTAGTATTACTGGCGCGCCGAATTATTAACACTCTCGCTCGGCACTGCTGCGTCCCGGCGCGTGGAGGGGAGGGGCGGCGCGGCGGGCGGGGAGGGGCCGGGGGAAGGTGTTGTGCGGCCGCGTGGAGGGGAGCGAGGTGTGGTATTGGCGCGGCTCCCAGCCAACCAGAAGCCGCGCCCGAGTGTGAACTTGCACGAATAGGGTGCTGAGGAGGTGGATTTTCAATAGCATAACCTAAAAAAACCTCACCTCCTCGCGTCCGCCCGCCCCGCGCCCCCCGCCCCGCGCATCATTGTTTCCCTCGCCCGAAACTACTTCATTGATACGCTAGTTTACGGACAGGGTGCAACGTTTGCTTGCCCGATTAATATTTTTTCCTTTTTTCATCCCTCTCCGCGCCCCTCCCCCGCCCGCCCCGCCACCCCTCGGCCCTCGCGCGCGTGTGCGCCTCAAATGTGTTCATCCCGGCACATATTCACTCGCCAGCGTGTTAAGCGCCCCGGTGTCCCGCGCCTCCCCCTCCCCCTCCCGCAGGGATCCCATCGTGGACTTTAATTATTTATCTTTTTACCTATCCCTTCGCCCCGTGTTACCTTTGTTGCCCATGTTAGGTGGATTTGCGGCTCAAGCGTGGTGCATCCACGATTTCTGCCCAAACGAAAATGGGTCTAACCGTGACGTCATAATTTGAGCAACGAGAATCGCATGAGAGAGGGTCATTTGGACTGCATTTTGCAATTGGGAACTACAGTTTGTGGATCATCCGCAAAAACACTTATGTGCATAGAGAAACTAATGGTACATACGACATTGTTAAACTGATTATGAGTCATAAATTGTGATTATATACTAATTGGAAAATCATTAAAAAGCGCAAAAACTCCAGTGCAAGGTATAGATAGAAATACACTATGGCAGCCCGAGAACATGGAATAAAAATAGACAGGAAAACATCGTGGACAAATTGTAATTATTGTGTGTTTTTTCAGTCTCGTGGTGCCCAATGTGGTCAATTTATACCAAAATTAACCCAACTGCATTTTAGCCTGTGTAATTTTTCTGCGTTTTATTTATTATTCATTTAATGAAAAATTTAATGCCTCAGAAGTTTTTTGCTGTGGAGTATTCCTGGACGATGAATAACAAATCTACACAATTTTTAGGTAGAGCATTGCTCGGATTTGTGGTATGAAAAGAATTCATGAGTGGAAATTTGGCAACGTTTGATGCAATTAGGCGGGTTTTGGTTAATGTTGTCAAGGAACTACGATTTCTGGCTCACATATACTCACATAAAAACTCCTATCTGCATAGGAAAACTTCCGTGTGGGGAATTGCCTTCCATTCCTAAGGTATGCAATTTAGGACACGGGAGTTAATTAAGTTGCATTCTCTTAAGACGGTCGGGTGGTGCAGTTGTGCTTTACACCGTGGATTGCTTTATGCAGAACTCCATTGTGACCAATATTTGATGGGCTCTTGTTAATGAACGACGTTTAATGGTGGTTTTTAGTGTACTATTTTCCTTAAGAGTAGATTCGTTTTGAGGTGGGATGGTTGTTTAACTAATTTAATTCTCAATTGCTCCTCCTTTAAAGGAAAATAGATTTATATACAGTGTCAGCTGGAATTTTTACACTGTTGGCAGAAAAGAAAATATCCCAAAACAATGTTTAAATCGTATTTAAGCACGCAATTTTTTGTTTTTAACTTATTTGTACATCGACCTCCTTGAGTCAAATACGCCCAATTTTGAGCGTTTAGTTGCGCTTACACCACGCTGCAGCACAGTAAAAGCCCAAAACATAAAAGAATAAATTTGTATGCTCTGAAAATCATTAAATTTGACACGGAAGCACTGTTATAACTACAAAAAACAAATTATATTTTTCAGTAGTACATATTTCTTTTTCATCAGTTTAAAAGGAAATAATCAATGGAGAGAGTGCAAACATTTCAAAATCATGAGTTGAAGAACGCTGACTCCGCGAGTTTAAATATTAGAGCCTAACACAGAGCGGAGCGGCGTGTTAGCAGCGCAGAACGCGCACTGGCGCCTACAAACCTAACGGGATACTTCACGCATTGCGCAACGCGTGAAGTATCTCGTTAGGTTTGTAGGCGCCTATGCGCGTGTCACGCTGGTTGTCTGCCGCGCCGCAACGCTTTACGCAACTAATTCGCGTCAAAGGCGTTGTACAGTATCCTACAAGATTGAGGGCGCACGAAAAAACTAGTTAAATTTTGACTGCACCTGTTACTGAAAAATGTTTAATTTGGCATTGGAGCTTTTCCTAGGCTCCCGCTTTGGTTTTCATTTTATCATATCCGTACAGTGTACACATGAACATATGTTTTTATCTGCTCTTAGAGTCTGTTCTCTTTCATGACTTGATTCATGATGAATGAAATGTTTTAAAGAATGAAAGTAGTAGTAGTATGCATTTATTTTTGAGGTGGTTCCTGTCATTCAAATGAGAAGAAGAAAATGTGGTCATAACATGTCCACAATTTGGACAATTTTGGACTTATTCATGGTTGGACATTAATCATGTGGACTTAATATAGACTGGACTTAACGTTTAGTGGACATAAATAGCTGTGGACATTTATTTAATGGACGAAAGGTAGGTGGACATAAAGTCCTGGAAGCATAAAATCACGAGATTCAGAAAATTGTGTTTCACTTATTATCATCGATTTCGAACTTTTAAAAATACAGACTTTGTGTGCATCGTGTGCCATTGTATCGATCACATATTTTTTGCTGTAAACTTGGTTTGGTTCTAAAATATGTGAGTGATCGCATTCAAGCGACCGTGTCAATCGAATAAAAACCTGAAAGCATAAGAATAAAAAGGATGCCAAAAGATCCTTCGGAGGGATTTCTCCTCTCCCGCCCTGCGAGTGTTTGAGCACGGATTAAAGACATGCAGGAGATAAGCAATGGGATTTCTTATTTTATTTTTTAAGCATGATTAGTAGATCCAAATCAGTGGCGAGGAGTGAACGATCGATTATCGATATCTCTCCATTTGAAACCATGGTAAAGAATCGATTATTAAGTTGTTCGTAGCGATCACCCTATCTATCGATCCTTTTCCATAGCTCTAAATGGCAGATTAATCGATATATCGCAAAGCACGATCCAAATGCATGGTGAGAAGAATGCCGCGGAGCAAACGCTCGACAAATAAATGCAAGCGAAATTAATTCCTATTGAATCGGAAGGGAGGGCCCACTAAGATCACGGAGGAGCGGAAGATGGCAAATAGAAATGGCGAAAAGGAGACGGAGAATAGATCCGAAAAAGTGGGTGCGATTGTTTGAATTCGGGGTATAAAAACTTCGATAGAAGCTGCCAGTTCTATTCCCAATCCATAGTTCAACACGTTTATAATCGGGAAAATGGATTTTGTTTTGTTCCGGGGAGCGATTTGTCAACTTAAGGAGAAAAGGGGGAGCGAAGTATGGAGGGATTGTCTCTAAATTGAGTTGAAAAGAAAACTTTGTGTCGAGGGGTCGAAAACAGAGTCGAGCCGTAGATAGCGGAAATATGTGTTTTATTGCAAGTGTTCATAAGAAAGAATGTTCCGAGTAGGGGATCGCATCGCATCGGGGCCGACGCAATAAAGTTTCAGGGAAATTAATAGGATTTGGCCACGACATCGCATAAAGACAGATTCGGTATCCATCTCGGGACATCCACTAATGCCGAGGGGTGAATCCTTGCACCCTTAGTCGCTATGCGGCTCAACCCCGCGAGATGCGCTTCGCGCTTTCAGGGGCAGGGAGCTCCACTCTGCCGTGGAAGAACGTCGCACAAACCATTAGGCGCTGCCAAATTTCCTTCGAAAAATCACGAATTTTCAGGAAAATGTTTGAATATTTTCTTCCAATTTTACAAAGGATGTAATTTTGATCTAAAGAGACTGAAAGTTTCAAGGAAAAAATATTTAAAACTTTCTTGAAATTAAATATTTTATAAGAGGAAATTTGGCAACATTCGAATGCTCATGCGGCGTTTTTACTTAGCACGGTAGTACTGTAGTAAGAGACCAGTGCCATTCCATGTGAAAACTTCAGAACTTTTGCCAATAGCCATAAGATTACAGATATCAGCCAGACAGATCTTAAGAAATAACCGGAGAAAATGAAAAGTACAATTAAGAATCAAGAGCCTTAAGTATTGGTATCTGGAAAGGCACATTCATCTTTGATAAAAATACTTCCATGTCATAGAGATTTACTTGGGAAAATCTTCATTATAAACTTAAAACTTTATTTCAATTTTCCCTTGGTCGAACGAAGTCAACATCAGATTTTCGCTTTGCAAATATTTTCATAAAGGGAAAAGAAATCGTTTTTTAACAAAGTGCTATCCAAATAATGCCTTAAGATAGTGGGTCATAAATATTTTTGGTTGACAATCACGAAAGTCACAAATTCAACCACAAAAACAGGATTCTATAAGTGCGCAACTGACCGCTCATAGTTGAACATAATTATCCGACATGGCAATGAAATCTTTGCGCTTTTATTTTATCGTATAGGCAAAAACACACCAGCAGAGTTTAAGTAGTTGCATGTTCGAATATTGGCAGTCTTGAAGGAGATTGCCACAAGATCACTACTAACTTCCTGGCTTTGCAGCGCTTGTTAAAGATTCAAAACATGTAATTCGTATTGCGGACTTCTCAACAAATATTTGTTTGTTCATTTATCCTTTTGAAAAAATTAAGCATCATTTTATTCATTGTAGGTCTTCTAATTTTTTGCGCATACATTCCATTAAAAGTCTCCGATTATAATAATGGCTGCGATAGGATTGCGCGAATGGTCCCTTTTTTCCCTTTTTGGAGATGCATACTAATGTATAGGATTGCGCGAATTTTTCTGGTACTGAAAACTTACATGTTAGCGCTAATATTCAATATTCAACGAGGAGGCGTTGATCTTGAAACCTCAGTAGTTTGTGGTAGATAACTGCATCATGGAGGACATGTTC